GAACGCTCAGAGGATCCCCCACGCCTTCCCTTCGCCTTGCCCCACAGGCCAGCTCTAAACAACAAGCAGCAGCGATGCAGGTGTTTGTAAACAAGGAAGTTTGCCCATGTTTCTAATTATAAGCTGTCAGAGCTAAAAATAGGAACCAATCTGTTCATTTAACAAAAAGAGGCTCATTTGAATGAGAGCAGCCCGGAAACTCTGATTTGGCAAGGCACGCCGGACTCTGGTGACACAGTGAGGCATCTGGGGGTTGTCGTCTTGTCCACTGCATGGTGAGTAACACCCCTAGGTTCCTAGTGCAGAAAGCCGTGATTGGCACCCACCGTCATGTTGTGCTGGTGACTTTTCCACAGAACAGCACCTCCGGTGGTACCCAGCCCAGTCCTCTGGCCTGGGATCTACCACTGCACCCTCAAGCTCAACACTGCGTCCAAAGGCTCTCTGGTCAGTTTCTATTTCTCTTTGTTTTCTCAGCTCCTGTTCAAATGTAACACAAAACATGGAGCATTTTTTGGCACACACACATACACACACACACACACACACACCTTCACAATCACCTCGTAGAAATGTTCAACCTCTCACAGCCATCAGGAAATTCACTGAAGAAAGCAAACTTGATAAATTTATCACATGATGGTGCCCGTGGCTGCCCCACGCCCAGCGCAGAAGGAGCTGCCCTCACCCTCACCTACTGCCACTAAGTTGGGCTTGAAAGTGCTTTCCACAAACGGAAAAGAAGGAAGCTGCGGGGCGCTACACAGAGGAAGTGTCTCTGCCATCTACATAAATAGTATAAAGTCATCAGACTTGACTGAAAAGTTTGTGTCGTTTTCAAAGCCCATCAATAATAAATGCATACTGCAAAGTTATCTCTAATGAACCAAAATTCTCAGTCATACTTTCTAAAAGGGCACACATCCCTGTTAACCCTGGGTAATCTGACAATAGCTTAAAAAGAATCCTGTGACAGCATCCTCCTCAGTACTTTTGTTAAAGACCATTGTCTTAACCCAGTGTAGTCATTTTTACCTTATTCTCATTATACTCATATTAAGCCAGTATCTCAGAAAAAATGAAATCCAGAAGAATAATGTTTTGCTTGGTTTTTGTACCCACATCCTGGCTTTTAAAGACATAGATGCACAATAATTTCATATTTTTAAATGCAAAATGTAAAAATTCTTTATATAGATTGAACCCATACAAGAAGAAAACCGAGAATCCCAAATGGGTAGGAGGTCAGTTATCTGAGGTTATAAACAACAAACATCAACTGTATCCCCAGAATATTCCACCTCTGACACAGCAGCAATAGCTGCAATCTCGTCTCTTCAGAATACCACAACCTAGCTCTTCCAATAAGAACCTGCCCAATTTTAATACTACCTTTCCCCTTCCGAATTCTAGACAAGATACCAATAGCAATAAGGTAGCCAAAGGCAGAAAAAAGGAAAAAGAAACTACTGGATGGTTTGACTGTTGCAGTCAGGATAATGTGTCTTTAAATAATCAAAACCCAGTCTGTTGAATTAAGCAATAATGATTTCTCAAATTTACTGAACTACATAGCTAACCATGAAGTAAGAAGTCCACTCTCTGAAATCCCTGTCACCACTCACCCTCGTCGTGGTGACACAGAAATCCTGTCCTGGGTGGTCTCTGTGATGAGCCCTGGGAGTGTCCGCCTAGCTAACACCTCCTTTCTTGCCCAGCTGGTCTTCCCTACCAGGGGCCCCTCCCACCACCCTCATTTATTACCTGTGGGCCTGTACTGGACAAATTTGTGGATGACACCATTCCATCCCATGCCAAGTGCAGTGTATGGTAAATTAACTGATGTGACCCCTTCCTCAAAATCTTTAACTGGTCTCTCATTGGTCCCTCATGTGATCCACATACTAACTATCCCAAACCTAACCCATACACCCCAAATCTCTAAGCCAACTTCCAACTTGTGTTTCAGATAAGAAATAGAGTGCAAAGGAAGCTTTAGAAAATTTAGAAAGATGTGCACCAATCACTATCAGTGACACACAAAATGCAAGTGTTTCCATATTTTCTGATTGACACTTTAAAAATAAAATAGCTTCTCTGGAAAATGGACTTCCTACTGAAAGCCTCCACAAAAACAGCCACCAGAATAACTCACTGGCACTGGGTTATTAAAATCCATGACAGGTATTACTTAAGATGTTAGGAAATTATTCAGGCACATGTGTACACATATATCTAGGCTCAGTGCTTGTACGCTTACACACACACACATTTTTAGTAAGTACTCATTAAGCTATCTGAGATATTAAAACTAATCATGGCACTTTTCCTTTAATGTTATTCTCAGCATAAAGAGAAATGAGCCCATTGTCATTTATTTCAAAATCATTCTTTATAAAAAATAGCTAATCTCCAGAAGCACACCTGGCTTATTGAAGTGAATACAAAGATGCGGCATATAGCCTTAATGTGCTCAGCTGGGGAAATATAATTTTTTAAATGAGCATTTGTTAGGGCTTTATTTGCAAATGCAAAACTATCCAAGGCACTCTTTGTGCACGTAGAGATTTTTCATTTCAAAAACCACATTAATATAGGAGGATTCACATTGAGCCCTAAAAGCAGCAAAGAAAATTAACCCTTGCAAGATTGGAAAAATAAACAAACAAAAACTCATAATACCAGTTCAGAGGAAGTTCAACACACAGGAAGCCACTGGTACCACCCAGAAGTACATTGGATAGGAATGTCTAACAGGTCTTAGTTCCCACAAAACCACCTGACTTGTATATTTAAGGTGCAAGCATCTACAGAGTTGACTGTGGTACTAAAAGCAGCAGAAAATGGGACCTTCTAGGTTAAACATTAGAAAGAAAAAATCACCCATTAACTCCACCTGGGAATTTCCAGATGTCTGCAGCTTTCCCTGGTCTTCTGAGATGACCAGGCCCCATGAGTAGGCACAAGGTGGCCCTGGCCGCCAACACGGACCACTGGAAGGCACCCAAGCCAAGCCAAGCCATGTGGGAAAGTGTGCGTGGCTCCCGGCCATGTTAGCCGGGTGTTTCCTAGTTACGTTGGCGAGTGCCACTTTTTCCATTTGATCAAGGGAATGTAATACATCTTCAAAACAATTTTTACCCAACTGGTCACAGATGGTAAAATCCAACACCAAAAAAACCCAAGAAAAAATCAAAAAACCCTTCGCCTCTTTCCCTCCAAGCTATACCGTTCTATGCTGCTAAGTCACACAAAAGTCCTTGGCCTGTTTATTTCTTTAGTTTTGTATTTGCCTGTGTTTTGGTTCTCGTATTTAAAAAGTCAGCTTAAAAAAGTACATACTGCTGTACCTTTCCACTAGGGATCTGAAGAAAGGTAAAAGAATTCTGCTAAATGACAATACATACACACACACACATACAAAAACAAGTAGGGTGGCATTTCTTGAGCAGGGAAAGGTGGTGTTGTGCAGCCAGTTGTGACCTGACAGATAAAAGCATTTCTCCAATACCAGAAATTATGTCAGAACCACTGAGATTCTGTGATATGCATTTCCGTACAAAGAAAACCTAAAATTAGGACTAGCTCTGCCCATTTATACCCCAAATGGATGTCAGCATAGTAACAGGAAAACTTTTAAATTTTTCCTGTTATCCCTGTGGTGTTGCAGCTGAAAGAGATGCTCAGTAAGTACATGGATGAATCAGCATGAAATCAGGAAACTTATGTAAATCATGCACTCTGAAACTAAGGTGCTCACCTCCGTTGCTTTGAACCCACCAGTTGGTTTTCCATAGCCTAACTTCGGGTAAAAACCATGTATCTTCCAGTTATTGAGTTCCTACCTACATTCTCTCACTTCTCACTAACATGTTTGCAAATATTTCAGGAATATGGTAAAAACAAAACAAAAAAAATTGACCTGAGAGGAAGACCTTAAGAGTAACATGTGGGATAAGAATCAAGGTACACAACATCTCCAGAAAGAGACAAAATTATTCTCTGGTTGGCAAGACTTGCAGTAACCTCAGTGAATATATTAATATATTAAAAGACGGATATGCTCGTAAGAAGAAGCAGGCAGGTCAGTCATGGGATGTGCCATATAAATTAAGTGCCAACTGACAGAAATACATATCATCTCATCTCAATGGTAAGTCTATACCTACAGCAAAATGGTGGAGTCAAAGCAGTAGTTATTGCTTCTCTAATTTAATATTCATCCACCATCCTTATGCTTATGATGTAATTTCCCATAGAAATATCCATGTTTTGAGCTATAAGCCCATATGTCTTACTAATTAATAGACATTTTTACTTGGATGTCTCATAGGAACTTCAAATTTTGCATGTCCAAAAGTAGACAAGTTCTCTCAGTCAGTTCTTTATCCAGTATTCTGTATCTTTGTAAATGGCACTGCCACCCAACTATGCCAACCGGAAACTTGGAAATCTTTTCATTTCATCCCATATAAGTTAAGCACCAAATAATGTCAATCCTACCAAACAATCCATTAATCTCTCTTTGAAATCATATTCCTCCACATCCATCCATTTCCACAGCTGAGCCATGAGGATTATGGCCCAGTGGGAGAGTAGATGGGAATGACCAAGAAGAAGAACACTTGCTCACTTTGAATCTCAAAGCTGACTTGCTTGGCCTCTGTATCTAGACAGAAGCCTCAAAAGCCCAGCTTTGGAGAGACAAAAGAAATGCAAAATCCCATAATTATGGGCTTCAGCTTTTTTATAAGATCACAGGATTTGGTTGTAGGCAAGTTTTTCTAGAGATAAGAGGTAGCCCACCTTTCTAGGACAGGGTGTCAAGGGAAGAAGATGGGCAAAGTTACAGCAGCACAAGACACATGTGTATGAACTCACTTCTCTGGAGCAGACAGATACATGGACAGTCTTCCTTTACTTCCTGCTCAAGATCATCTTGGACAAAGTGTTGCACCTCTTACCCTAGAGCAACCTAGCAGAGTCAAGGTGGGGGAACCATGGGTGAGCAGAGAAAAAGCCCAAGACTAGTTTCTCAGTTCCTCCTTTGGCTTCAGTGTTGCAGAGAAGGATCTAGAAGGTCCCATGTGCTCTGTGGAGAGACACGGTCAGTCACTGATGGTGCTGGCTGAGGATCTCATCAGGGATGGGAGTTAGGAGTTGTCATTATATCCTCAGATGAGACACAGAGCCCAACTTTAGATAGGAACCAGTCATGCCAGGGAGAACACAGGTGCAATGAGGCAGCAAAGGGGATCCTGGGTCCCCCATAAGCTGGTAGCTAAATAAGTATTGGGTTCGTCAGCTCTTGAGTTCCCAGTCAGTGGAGTGAGGACAACAATGGCCAGGCTGTCCACAGGTTAGCCTTCCTGCAGAGCATATATGGTGTGCGCAGGCCAGGCCCCTTGCACAGATGCCAACCATGTGGATAACTCAGGTAGAGAAGCTACCTGAAAGGGGCCATTTCAAATGAAAGGAGACTGAACACAACTACAAGAGACTAGGGTATAGGATATTTCCCTGCTACCTGCAACAGCAGGAACTTATAAGAAAAACAAGCCAGAGGAAATGAAAATGCGTTCACTTTCTTACACATCTGAGGACAGTGTGAGTAAATGTGAGGCAACACACCTTGTCTGCCTACCCCCTTATCTGCTTTCAATTGTCAGCCAGAGTGGTTCATTAACAACACATGTAGAATTACACCATATGGGTATCTCACGGAAATTCTCTGACACTTCATTGCACCATTCTGCACCCACCATGGTCTACTCAGGATTTTTTGAACTTGCGTTCCCTCAACCCACAATGCTCCCTGCAAAGTTCCCCCCAACTCTGAATTCTATTCATCAGAATTTAGCCAAGTTCTCCTGAGGCAATCTGTTCACAATCAACCCTGGGAAATTCTAGGTTACACAAACAGATTAATTTCCTGACTGCAGAAATTCTCAAAGCCTTTACAATTCCATAGTAAATCTCTGAGAAGCTTAATGAACTAGGCACAGTTTCCTAAACTTATTTGCCTGGTCTGTTATGTAGCAAAATATCTGTGATAATTTATAAGGAGGAAAGAGTTCTTTGACTCATGATTTCAGAGGTTGTAGCCCATAGGCAGCCGCCTGAGGGGCTGTGGCAGGGTGGTATGGTGTGGCAGGCACATTGGGCGGAGGACAGTACTCACCATGTGACAGGTGGGAAGCAAACAGAGAACAGAAGGAGCTGGGGTCCTACTATATCCCTCATGGGTTCACCCCAAGGGACTCCATTTCCCTCACTGGGTTCCTGAAAGTTCCACCACCCTCTAGCAGTGCCACAGGCTGTGGCCTTTGGGGGACACTTATACCAACTCCAGTATATGGGGTACACTTTTCTATGTTTCACAGAATTGGAATCTTCAAGAAGGCATTGGATAAATGCTGACTTATGAGAGTTACAGAGCCAAGAATCAGGTCTCTTTCAAAACTGAAAAATAACACAAAACAGTGAAGTTTCATGGAGTACAAGAGAAGAAATGCTATCTCCATGGTGCACAGAAACTGCTGAATTTCTCCAGAGAAGGTGGTGAGGCAGTGAGGTGGCAGAGGAGAGGAAGGAAAGGAGGTTGGAGATGTGAGGGGTGCATGGGCGCTCACTGGGCTGGGCACTCATAGTCTCCATGCTGGGGAGCGCTTTCCACCCAGCTCCATGTCAGAGCTGGAGCCTGAGCCCCAGCGTCTTCTCCTCCAACCCAGCAAGACAGCCAGGACCACCAGGGAAGCCACTGACAGCTTTCCTAGCAGCCAGAAGTGACCCTAGGAAAAGATGGGGCAGAAACAAAGTGGAAGCTGGTCTTCTGTGCTCCCCTTGGGGAAGACTGCATGGAAAGGGCTCAGCCCTGGCTGGAGGTGGCATCACATGGGATGAGTAAGTAAATCTCTAAAGAAGAGCAGAGATACGAGAACATTTCACAATAAAAGACACAATGGGTGGCATTACCCACATAGGGCCATCCGCTCTGTAAGTTTGACGCGTTTGAACTTTGTTCAGAGAATTTAATAACTGAGATGTCAAAGAACCTTATTCGAAGGCAATCTTACCTATGTCATCCACTGACCTGGACCTCAAAGATTGTGATGTGCCAAGGTATCTGAGCCAGGGGGTGAGAAAGAACTCCTGGCAATACAGTTTAATAAATGGATTCCTTGGCCCAGGGAAGTTGCTGGAGTAGTGAAAAGAGATGCAGTCCAACAAAAATTAGGTTACACGTGAGAAAGAACTCGATAAAATACAGTCCTTCTCTGGAAGAGCGGTATTATTTTCCATCAATGGGATGGACCACATCACCGTGTAGCTGTATCCTCTGAGTCTAGGGTCCCCTGGGCACAACTCGGGGTGGAAGAGCAGAGGAGCCAGGCCAACTGCATATGTGTGGTCCCCAGCTGGAGGCTGCTGGTAGAGAAGGCACAGCTCCTCCTGTCTGGAAGCAGCTCCACAGAGAGGCTGGCGATGGGTGTGTCGAGGAAATGCCAGTGACCCAAGGCCAGTGCTCTTGGAAGGAATGCATGGCCAGAGGAGTAGAATGTGCAAGAGAGAAAGAAGCAGCTCTGGCATCCACACCTGACTGTGATGTGGATTCTTGTCTCAGCCTCCTCCTCTGTCCTATTCGTCACCACCTTTTCTTTGGTGTGCTTACTTACAAATGGTCACAGCAGATGGACTCTCACAGAAATCAAGGAATCATCAAATAAATAATCTGGAACTCTGTGGAGAGGCATGGCCTAACCCAATGCATTACTCAGTCTTGACTGCTTGCTCTTGTTACAGAAGACCCTCCGAGGGCTCTCGAGCATAGAAACAGTGCCACTGCGATGACCCCTCAGTTCAAAGCACATTGCAGTGGCCACCTGGGTCGGCGCCATGTGGGAAGAAATCAGCAAACAGAAGAGACGCTGACAAAGGGCATGATGAAATCATGGAAGAAAGGTTCGGTGAAAGAATTTTATCCCATCTTATTCTGTTTTCAGGATAGAAGGCTCTGCACTGGCCAGGAAGCTGAAGTCAGCAGTTAGGTGTCCTCAGGTGGTTCCCAGTCAAGAAAGGAAGGGATGGTAATGGGGTGAGGGCGGAGGTAGTAGGCCTGGGTCATTTGATAATTCATGGCTGGAACCCCCGAGGGTTTCCCTTTGGGTATTATCCTGCAGAAAGCTCCAGGCAGCCTTAGGCTGATTCTTCCCTTGTCACTTCTAAAAGGTGAATCGGTTAATGCTCACAATGGCTGGCTCTGGGCTGCTGTTCAGACTCACGTGCACCTTCTAATTATAAGAAGCCAGCTTCTTGGGCTTCTCCCGGCAAAAGCTGAGAGGGCACCAACAATGTTTTTGCTGGTCCTGCAACATCCAAATAATTTTCCATCTGTGAGCACCTCCAATTAAAAGGGCAATGACTATGAGTCAACGCACACCCACCAGCCTCTCCACCCTCCACCTATGCCCCAAACTGATCCACTTTCCTTCTCCTGCCAACAGAGGAGAGAGAAATCAGCCATCTGGAATAAGACTTGGCCCAAGAGACTTGACACCTGGCTGACATGTTGACCACACTGTCCCGCAACTGAGTGCCCTTACACAAAACTACACAACCCGGCACAGGCCCTGTTTCTCACGTACAACGTACATGATAGCAAAGGTGGAAAGAGCAGAGAAGCACTTTGAGTACAGTCCCTACTCCCAGTGGTTTCAAGGTATAGAGGAAGACACAGTAGGAATGGACAATGGAAATATTTCTCAGGTTTTGAGATTAAATTTTAAAACTATGACAAAAGTCATTTTATGCACCCTTAGAAGTGCCATAGATGACTCCATACAGATCAGCTTCAAGGTTTGGTTCCAAAAATGATCTCCCCATATCCGGAGACACATTTGGGCAACCCTGAAGCAATGCAGGGGCAAGCATCCAAGTGACCGAGCACACTAGTTTCAAAGGCCTGTCCTTGTCTAAATCATTCCAGGTGAATCCTTGGGTACATTTTGAGTAATAACCACACGTTACATTCACCTTGAGCAGCTCTGTGTCTCACTCTTGATCTTTCCAGAATAATATAAAAGAGACTTACATATTCAGAAGCAGGAAGTTATTGGCATTGCTAACAAAATATCCAAAGGTCTTCAGAAAAACCATAGCACCCCTGGACCTGACTGGACATTTCTAGACTCACCAAAGGCCAGATAAGCACTTTTTGAAGAATACTGACTTCTGACTGGGGTGAAAGCTAATGAGCAATACGATGTGATTCATGGTGATAATTAACATGATTTCTCAGTGGCCATGTGGGGCAATTCGCTAAGCAATCTTGTACAGAAAAGTGTGTGATCCTTGTTTTAGGCATTACACACCTCTACATTACTCAAGAATAAATATTCCTGCAATATTTTGCTGTTACCAAAATCATTTCCTCTTGTTCTACATAATTTTAAGGGCATGGCAAAAAAATTACTGGTCTTGTTCCTAAAATATGGTGGCTTCTGTTTCATTTTGTTAAAACACAATTGTATAGAAGAAGAGCCCCTCTATGTTCTTTCAAGAGCCACAGAAAGGCTGGCTGGAGTCACAGTCATTATCCCCAGGCCTTGGGCTACACAGTAGGGAGGGGTGGATGCTTCTCCAGGAGTCAGGGCTTATGAAGTTCCACAGTGGCCCCTGGCCTAAGGCTCTTGGGTTGCCACAGCTCCACAAGACAAGCTCGGCCAGTCCTTGGCAGCTAGGGAGCTGTTGGCCTGGGCATTCCTCCCAAAGCTGAGTGGCTGCTCACTGCTGACTTGTTCAGTTCTGAGCTCTGAAAAAAAAAATACTCCACCTGGAATGTTGAGCTAGGCAAAGACAGCAGATGCCCAAAATGAAATAGCCCATTGCACATCAGATGCTTTGGAACCTTCTAGAAATTACTGAAATATTGCAGTGTTTCTCGATGAAGTTTGGACTGAGCTACTTCCGGTCCTTTTCATCAAAATCTCTCACTATCCCCCATCTTGGACCTTGACAGCCAGACTCAAGACAATCCAATAGGTGATCGATGATATTCTCTTCTAAAGGTCATATTGGGGAGAGTCTAAATGCCAGACAAACCACACAGTTCTCTATGGAAGACACACATTTCATTTACCTTCCCTTTTAACCTCATGCAGCCTTTTACAGAGACACAGAAAAGTCTTGGAAATACCTACGTGAAGTCTGGCACAATGCTTGTGATCATTCTCTGAGGTTTTCTCAATTGAGGGATCTACTCAAAAGGAAGGACGGAATAACTGTGACAATCTCCCAAGCCACTAGGCTAAGCCAAAAAGACTTGACAGCACACGTGGGTGTTCTCTAATGGAAGAAAAACAGTCTCCCTCTGAGAAGGCTGCAGTACCAATCTGAGGACTAGTTCTCGCTACAACATTGTCTACTTAGGTAGTAATGAGCCGAGCAAAGCTAAATGTATGGCAAGTGTGGTTATTAGAAGGGTGCCTGGCACTAAAATAGCATGGCTTAGCAAATAAAGAGACATGGGAGGTGACGAAGGGTCGGGGAAGAGAACAGATGAGAAATCAATGTCAAAAGAGGTCAGCTTATGAGCTTTAAAGGGGGCTACAATCATTGATTATAATATCATGGGAACAACATAGGCTCTGTGAGATCTGAAATTACACTTCCAGGCTGAATTTATGGAACTCACAGCAGCCCCGGAGATTGCAGATGTTCGTAGAGCCCTGCACATGGGCGCCATCAGGGTGGGCTTGGTGGAAGTGAGCTCCTGTTTCCTGGCTCAGGGGAAGAGGTCTGATCAGGAAGGCTTTGGAACTGCTGCTTCTCACATTTCGGAGACATTGCTCGTCATAGTTAGGGGCCAGGATTACCTTCCTAAATCATGTACCTAGTGACGCTACTCCCTTGCTTGGAAGCCATCGTTACCTGCTGTGTTTCCTGCAGCACAAGGCTTGGTGCCCTTCATCACACACAAGCTCTTCTGAGCAGGCCACCTGGGCCTCACCCAAAGCTCTGACCACACCAAAACTCTTTGCACTTTCCAAATACAAGCACACTCTGTCCCACTCACTCAGCCTTGACATGGTTCATTTCTGTCTGAAAAGCCCTTTCTGATCTGACCTGGGAAAGCAGTCCTGGCTCTCCTTTGGGCCACTTTCTCACTGTAGCAAACCCAGGGCTCCTAAGCCTGGGCACACAGTTACATATCTGCTCAGCGATCCTCACTGTCACAAGGACACACGCCTGGACTCTGGCCACCAGGATGTGGGTGGAAACAGATTAAGCATCAGTAGTCCCTAAAACCTCTCTTCAGAGCCTCCCTGGTCTGTCCCAGAGGTTCGCATTCTGGGGCCCTGTAGGAGGGCCTGGGCTCCTACACACCTACCTGTGTGGTCACCAACCCTGCCCGGCCAGGCACGAGAACACCTGAGGACACGGATATCTGTAGCCTGTCCATGGGGGCTAATCCCTCAGCCAGATACAGTTAATTACATGTCATCTCGGAGTACTATGGTTCTTTTTATGTCATCATACACTTATTTTTGGAAGAAGTCTGGGTATAAACAGAAATTCATTTATCAAAAGGGAATTTATATCAAAACAAAACCAAACAAAAATGTACATGAGGCATTTTTCCTTTTACTGGCCCGACTAGTGGAGTAGTCTAGAACATGGTGCCTCAGAGACTGTGTTTGTGGGCCCAGAAGAAAGATCTTCTGCAGGCACAGGCTGCTTCCTATTTCCTGGGCTCCTGTGGCTCGGACTGTGCCATGCATTGTACAGGACACTGCCTAGGTGGCACTGGGGGTGGAAAACTCTAAAGACATTGGCAGCCATGGCAGCACAGTCTTCAGCCCTTTGATCAGTTATGCAGTATGATTATGTGTATGATGAATGCTTAACTTTAAAAAATAATAACAGTAAAAGACACATTGCCACTGATCTCCCTCAAGTCCCCCAACCCACATGCTTCAAATACACTTATCCCATTTCCTTGCCACTTTCTGACGCAGTTCTGGAAGTTCTCTTGTGGGAGTGTCTTTAGTTGCATTGTTGTGGCTGTCTTGATGTCCTGCATTAATTAAAAATGTTTTCCTTGCATGGTCAATTTGACTTTGGGGAAAATGCAGAAGTTGCACAGTGCCAGGTCTGGTGAATGAGGCGGATGAGGACAGGCTGTGCTGTTGATGTAGCCTGCCTTCCTGTTGGATGATACGCAGCATCAGCTTTTGCCATATTTTTCATCACACCTTATAAAGACAGTCATGGAGGAGGACTTCCCAAACTGCCTCAGAAAGTGGCAAGAACAGTGGGTGTGTCTGGAGTGAGGAGTGTTTTGAGGGAAATTTGGGACAATGCACCTTTAATGTAGTAACTTCTCTTTTAAATTTAAACCTTCAAAATATAATTGGATCACCCCTTGTGTAAGTTTGCAACTGAATAACAAAACTCAGTATCCATAGACAACATTCAAAAAGCAGCTAGGAAACAGAGTGGTGTCTTGAATCCCCCAAAACAAGTTAATAGGGCAAATGAGTAACGGCCAGGCAGCCTGCACGGGATCAGCACGTTGGGTCAGGGGGAGACACACGGGGGAGCGCATCTATGGATCTGAGGACAAGAGCAGGCTGACAGCCAACAGCACTCGAAGGATGTTCAGGGGCTCATTACAGACTGAGCTCTAACAGGGCAGGCCTTATTCTCTTCCACACGGAATGTGAGGGCACATGGTACAGGGCCAGCAGGCACGGGGCATTTGAGCCCCCATGAACCCTGCAGCCACCAGCACCCTTCCAGTGTAAGCCCACACCTGTTAAGGGTGCCATCCAATTTAAGGCACACCGAACACAAGTGACAAACGAAAGAGAAGGTCTAGATCAAAGCAGGGAGGGAAATGGCATCCTGGAAGGTAATGTACTAACTAATCTACCAGGTTTTTGAACTCTGCATATGCACAGAAAGAAAGAAAAGAAGGAATAAGGGAGAGAGGGAAGAAGCGAGGGAGGGAGGGAGGGAGGACAGAAGGAAGAAGGAGGGAGGGATGAAAAGAAGGAAGGGAGAGAGGGAAATCCTATAAAGTTAGTAAAATTTCCTCTACCACTCCTTGGTTTAAAATGTCAGGAAAATTAATTTCACATAAAAGTGAACAATGGAAAATTGTCAAGGTCAAGGTCAAATCCCACACAAAGTTACTATAATTACAAACTACAGGAAGGAGCAGATCAGTGTCCCTAGAGACAATAAAAGTACAGTGGAAAGACGTTTCCACAAAACAGAACCATAGCCTATGATTTCAAAAGAGGGGAAATGACTTAATACATAGAAGGACACTGCCATAGATTACAAGGGTTCATAAACTCAATTATTGACAATAATTTTAAAGAAATTAAAAACAACAGAAGAATTCATTGAGAAATGCCACCTAAATTAGAAATCAACAGAACAGATAATCTCCTAAGTGCCACAAGGAAAAAGAATTAAAACATTAAGGAGAAAGAAGATTTAAGGGAAAAAGACAGATAGTGAAGACAGGCAAAGGAAATTGAACACATGGCTAAGAGGAACTTCTGAAGGAAAAAAAAACAGAAAGGAACAGAGCAATCACTAGAGGAGAATTCAAGAAAATTTTCTGAGGTACAAAGAAATCCGAAATGACATGTTGAAAAATTACATCATGACCTGAGCTTATTGACCCCAAAAGACCAATAGTAAGATATACTCTAGTAAGATCCTGAGCTTCTAGACAAGAAAAATGCATGGCTTACAAAGGGAAAAAAATGAAACTATGGGACTTTCTAAAGCAAATGCTTTCAGCTAGAAGGAAATAGCATCATCTGTTCCACAGACAGAGGAAAGAAAAAGATTTTATATCCAGCAAAACTGCCTTGCAAATGGGGAGGGCTCAAACCAACAGTTACCAGTGCAGGTAAGAACTACTGCTATTGTTCGGAGCGCTTTCTGAGAAGTATGGTTGAGATCATCAAAAGGGCATGGAGACTGTCCCCACAAGGACTGGTGGCAAACACCAGAAACATGAAGACTGAAGACTGAAGACTAAAAGGGGTGAAGAGCGTGGAGTATCTGATGGCGGACGATGTGCTCTGAGAGTGTATGGGTAGCATGATTATTTTTAAATGGGAAAATGGGGGACAGTGTACATGTTTTTCAAAAGCTTTAATGTTTTTAACAACTAGTACTAGTGTCAGTGTTGTTCTCGTAAGACTATTGTGCATATGTGACAAAATAAATGAGTAATATTGAGATAGGCTATTGCCCCCTACCTCCTTGAGGGTCAAGATTCCTGAAGAAGGAAAAAGATACAAACATGATCCAAAGGGAGTTCAGTAAAACTGTAAATTTTAAGTAAAGTTAAATAAAGTTGAAAATTTTAACTGAGTATCAGTGGGAACGGAAACACTCACTTATTTCATATATATGTGTATTTTCCCAATCTTGTCATCTACAGAAAACTAAGAAATAATGACCAGTCCTGCACCTACAACTGTCTTACCCTCCATGACTATAGTTTTCAGGTCACATTCCTCACCTAAAGAAATCGGGGCCACCTAGAGCAATGGCTGATTACAGTTCTGCTTCAGAAAGTGTATAAGATCAGGGACATCTTGTATTACCAGACAGCAGGGAAGTCAACCAGGGCTTTAAACTGTTGAGAAAAGGCCTCAAGATGTCCCTCTCCAAGGACCCCACTGGCTACCATGGGACACCTGCACTTCAGTAACACAACCTTCTGCAACCTTGCCAAGCACCAACTATGGTCTGTCCAGAAGAATTAAACACATATAAGGCTAACGCAGTCTTGGCTACCCGGGGCCAATGTGCAGGAGTGCAGGACTGCAGGGTGCAAAGACACCTGCGACTCTGCCATAAGTGTGTGGCCCACCAACTTGGGCTGAGAGAAACCCCACGGGTAACGGCCCCAGTTCTGCAATAGATTAAGTTACAAAGAATTGGGACAAAGGAGGAACTTACAGGTTAAAAGATTGTTTAAGTTTTAAATGGGCAAGACCTGACTACGCTGCTTGGGAATGTACAGTGGACTATAAACATGTTTTTAAATTTATAAGGAAGTGACCCCGACGATAGGATAATGGTTACTTATGTGGGGTACAAAGAGCTGCTGTTGGGTCGGGAAGTGAAGGAGGTTTTCCGACGCCAGAATTCTGTCCCACGCTGGCTGGTGCACAACACGTACCGTATCTAAAACACTGTCATAAACATGCAGTGCACTAGGCCGTGCATTTGACTCACATGGTTTTCTTTGTTTTATTTACAGTTTAAAACTTTTAAAAAAGACTGAGCCTCTCACCGCCATCCAGTCTCCAGCTGAGAACTCGAACCAAAGCCCTCAGGTGAGGTGGAGAAGCATGCTAGCAAATGCTGCCCGGGCTTGTATCCGGAAGGTTGGCAAATGTGTTTGCAAAGTTGTATTTAATTTGGAAGATAATGTGGATTCACTTAAAGGATTTTATGAGTCTGGTGATCCCTCTTTCCCCTGAACTTCTTAAAGCCTTCACCATTTGCTCGATTCTCATATATGTATAATTAAGCTGGCAGAACTACGGACAGAGGATGCCAGCTAAACCCAGGCTGTAGCCCTGCAGCTGGAGGCAGGTGGGGGTGAGGGGCTGGAGCCCTTTCCATGGATGAAGCCCCAACCCTGTTAGGATTCAACGGGAACTTACTTGCTGCACTATGTTTACTAATTAAATTCATCTCCTCAAGCCTCTAAATGACTGCGTTTCTTGGGGACTATGCTAGGACCAGGAGGAAAGTATGTACTTCGAGTTATAAAATCGAAAGGAGATTGAGCATTAGACAGAGAGACAGACAGACACAAGGAACTCCACGCCTCTGAGGGTGCTTGGTGCCCTGCAGCCAGAACAAGGTGACAGCAGGTTCCTGCATCTTGACAAAGGCAGCCCTTTGACACTCTTACACCCATTATTCGGTGTCAAGATATATTTCACTCTCACGCACAGACTTTAAAAATTTAGTACACTAAATACTCTTAGAAACCCCAAAGAACAATCATAAGGGATCTTAAGTGTTTATTCTTTTTCTCCCCAAAAGATCCTAAGTTCTTCCATTCCAAATTATCCATCCACTGAGATTCTCGAGAGTTAATAACGTGTAAAATGCTCCTTGCTCAAGACAAAGGCAAAAATAAAGCTTTTAAAATTGCCGGTGTCACAGTTAGGATAAAATAGCCTGCCAGTCACCAGAGCTTAATTCAACCTCATGTTGTAAAAACAATGCTTTTCAGTTCTTTTAGGAATCAAAAATAAATAACCAAATCCAAACCCCTCCTGAAAAAAGGAGCTGATATAAATCCAAGTAGCTAATTGATGTAAATAAGTGCTAACCGAACCGGCCCACGGACTAACCTCTCAGAACCCATTTCTCCCAGGACTGGTTAGTGCTTGCAAGTCGCAGGAATGAAGGGCTCACCCCGCCCTTAATATGGAATAAAGAGACCGTGGCTCTGGACTCTGGGAGAGGCAAGCCCAAATTCACAGAGGTTTATTAAAAACAGGAAAAGGTCAGTCCTTTTCGCCCAAAGGAATGTCCGGGGCTTGTAGGAATTATTACTCGAAGATAGTTTCTTTATTAAATTCTCTGTGCAGAAATAGAGAACCAAGGGAGGGGAGGACCAGACCCCAAAAGTCTTCCTTTTGTCGTGCCTATGCATGGCCACAGTCTAAATTTAATGCAAGATACAGGGAAGCTGCTCTTCACTGTGTCTACACATTAGATACATTGTAAAGCCCAGGGTTTTCTATGAATGGAGAATTATGCATTTAAATAATCCACTAATGATAAATAGAGTGTGTTTGCTCTTCTCCCCAAATAAAACGAATGAGGTGAACAGAGAGTAACGTACCAGGTACAGCATCTGCCAGAAACCTCCCTGCCCACCAAGGACACAGAATAGCCAAGGGCTCGTCACCTCCATTTGCTTCTAGTTAAGATCAAGGGCTAGTTACTGAATTAGTCTGAGGGAATTTATAGATCGAGGGCAGCCCAGCACTGCCTTGTTTAGCGAGCATTTTTCAACATGGGCGGTCACAGAGAAATCTGGAACCAAAGTTAAGTGCCAACCTAAAATGGATTCCTGAGACACCCCTGGCGTGTGAATTAATTCTATTTGTATTAATATTTGGAATGTCACACGAGATGTTGCGGCTGGTTCTGCGTGACGCTCCTGTACTCTCTCCGCAGCATTTTTATCATTGAAATGACCATGTTTTGAAGGCGAGGGCAGACTACACTTCGCAAGAGAATATGAAAAGCTGAAACTTTCTCCACTGGTCTCTGTTTACAAAAGGTCCTAGCACTGCAAGAGCAGGCTGCATTTTAGTGTCAAAGAACAAGGCACTGTATTCAGTGTTGGTGTCGCAAGGGCTTTGGCTGATCCTGTCTCTTTACATTTCAAATCATCCCACTGTCTGAAAAGTCCACAGAATCACCTGCTCCAAAACGGGGCCCAGCAGTCAGGTACAGGAACCCAAAACACTCCTTTCGAGGAGGTAAAACAGTGGGTTAATGTTTGGCAGAGAAAACCTGTTCTGGAGACCAGGAGCGCAGGCAAATGTCAGCGATGGGTGCGCTTCCCCTTGGAAGGGCTGTGTCACCAGCACCTGTGTTTTTGTAGGAACAGGACCAAGGCTGGTTTGGGTCGGCAAAAACCAGGTAGAGACAAATAGCTCCCTTCAGTCTATAGTTTCCAACGTCTCTTAACATCAAACACTTTTATGGTTTTGAAATGAAAACATCACCTGGCTTGGGTTGTATTTCTTCCCCTCGCAAGCTGCTGGTGGAGATGTCAATAACACCGCCATGGCTACAGAGAAGGGAGGAGCAAAGAGAAGCAGGACACGCTCGTGCTACTCGGTCAACCCTTAAATGACCGGACAGGAGCAGCGGCGGTCCCTGCGTGAGCAGCTGCCTCCTCCCAGGCTGAGCCCAGTGCAGAGGAACACCTGGGCTGGGGCTTTGGGGCTTTTAGGTATCGTTACCCCTCCTCTCCTCCTCTCTCTCTAATGGGTTCTAGAAAAAGGAGACCGCCACTTCAGCAGACAGGGAAAAGAGGGTTGTGTGCTTCACACAGTTATTTTTATATTTAATCCAAGAGCAGGAGAGGACTAAGCAACCCAGCTGACGCTAAAGAGCATTTTAGGAAGTTGGCAACTGAACAAGCCACCTCCTGCTATCTCCTCCTGTGCAGTAACCGTACCGGGGTATAGATATGTTCCTCAAAGATATCCATAGCACAGATAATTAAGTTAGTGCAGCAAAGCAGCTCCATGCTTTGAAGTGTAGATACAGTTGGTGCGGTAACCTTTCCCTCACCTGACAGGCTAAGCCTGCAATCTCCTCACACATGTTAACAACCCTGTGACCTTTAGTCTGTCTTCATTATCACATCACTCTTGTTACCCAACCTTGTGGGCCCACTCTAAAACACTCTTTATAAACTGGGGTGGGAGTGACCAGGCCCATGGACAATCTCCACTGGACAGGAGGAGCCTTCCAGGGAAGGAGCTCACAGCCTCCAGACTCAGCTCTCTTGAGCAAGAGGGGAAACGATGAAAATACAAGCTATCTCTGGAGGTGTTTCCGAAAACATTCTCCGGAGCTCCAGGGCCAAGGAACGGAGTCTGCTGTAGGCATCATCTTCGGTCTCTGCTTTGCAGAAAGGACCGGGCTGAGTCAAGTTTCCTAGGCCTGCAGGAGCTTGTCCACCTGACCCCAGACAGCCACAAGCTATAGCTTCATCTTCACAACACACCTATGGGGAACTGGATCCATTTGACAGCCAGGGAAGCTGAGCAATGGAATATCATCCGAGCCAAGGTCACGAGCCAATGTGTAGCACGGCCATGCACAGAACCTGGGTCTTTTCCCACCTAATAGGACCACAGCCCCATGCAGGGAGAAGCCGCCGAGGAGCTAAGGTCCCGCCTGTTGGCAGAATAACTCCCCTGCTTTCCATCACAGCAGACAAGACAGAGTGAGGCCAGGACACTGAAAAAGGATGGAGCTAATGTGAATGGAAGCTTAGGCCAGCCCTTGCCAAGGCATGGGCAGACCTTATACATTGTATTTGAACTTGATGAATTTGAACTTTAAAGATGCCTCAAGCTTCAACATCTCTGTACAATACTCTACTCTGAATCTTTCCTGGGGAAGGGAAAGAGTCAGAAAAGGACAGGTGAACACAAATTAATCACCCACCCCACCGCTGCTCCTAGGGCAAACAAGGCCTGGAAGGCCAGTTGGCCTCAACTCAAGTGCTGGGCTTGGGACCCTTCCCCTCCCCGAACAGAAGCCCTTTTATATATTAAGAGAAAAGCAGAGGTGTTTCACAGCTTCCAAGAAGATAAATAGCCTAGGATATCCATTAGTGCCCCATAAATCCCGCTGCTCAGAATGCTGATATATTTCTAGTGATTTGTGATGTTATCCTTTCCGGTTTTTTGATGGCAACTTAGGTTTAATACAAAAGAGCGGTTTGGCAAAGGTAGAATGTATGGCTATGACAAACCTAATTCCCTAGACCCGAAATCCTCGGAAGGTGTGGAAGCAGCAGAGCTAGCTAACTTCTCCATTTCCACAGAAATCCCCTCTGGGGCTCTGACTCCTGATGTGACATTTTCGGCGAAAATTCCATCGTTCTATGCATTTTGGAAAATCTCTCAGGAGGCTTGCTTACAAGAATTTTACCTAGGTTTCTTTCAAAGACAAGGTTATCATGGGTCAAAGCTACCATGAAGATGACATTTTAAAAGAGGATCCTCATCTCCCCTCCATGGACTCAGAATGAGCCCAAGCAGATGGCGGCAGCCATGGGCGGGAACAGCGACGTGGTGTCACGGGGCGGTCTGCTATGGATACTTACTCCCCATCATGTACACACACACAGAGACCAGTTTGGGCCAGAGCAGCCATGAAGAGCAAGAGCCCAGCAGGCATGAGGCCAGATACAGAGCTGCTGGGCAGGTAGTTACACAATTGCTTCACTTTTCCTCCTCCCTGTAGAAGCAAATATAAACCTGCTTTATAAGGGCAATCCTACTTTCCCAGAGAAGCACTTCTGAAATAATAGCACCACAGAATAAACACTGGAGCAGCTAGGGCCATGTAGAGAACTAAGGCCCCCATTTCCAGATATCCCGTGGTCAGTGCCCTGTCGTGTATGCATCCTCCCAGGACCTGGCTGTGGACCCAAGGGGCAGCCCTGTACCTGCCACGGAAACTGCTGGGAGGTTTCTCGGAGCTGATATACAGACAGATGCATCAGGCAGTGTCTGGCACTCTTAGTCGTCTGTCTTTAAGCCGCAGCTATGGACGCTGTAGTGACAGCGCTCATCATAGGTGGCTTGATTAAGCACAACGCAGATGCTACATTTTCAATATTTTTACAGCAAATGTGTGGCTTGTGTGTAGTTTTCCAGTCAAGCCTATGTCTTATGGGAAAAATCATCGACTCATGAAGCCATTTTAAAAATCTGAAAGTAGTGAAGCCGCCTACTTTCTCCCTTACCTTTTCAACTTTTAAGTGCCAAGCAGAGCTTCTCCATCTTGACTCGGGGAATGTTTGGTGGGGGAGGATTCCTGGCCGGGGGCCAGGGGGATTTCCCCTGCACAGCAGCACCGTGGGCCCCGCTCCCTGGTTGCCAGGACCACCCTCTTCCCAATCAGCACACTCCAACATGGGTCCAGATGTTTCCTGATGTTGGAGAAAATCACCCCTCACTGAGAACTACTGGTCTGGAGGCATTTTGAACAGTAAGTGAAAGACAGACATACATTTGCTAAAATATGTCTCAAGTGAAAGACAGCACACTCCTTCCCAGATTTCACTTCTGCCCCCAACAGCATCTTGCCAGCAGTAAAGCGAAACACAACCTCCTACCTGATAGGGACAGCGTGAGACTCAGCACTACGAAGCAATGGGGAGCAAAACGGCCCAAACTTCTTCATATATGCAAACTCAACATTTAATTTTCTGCAAGATTACCCACAATAATTACAAAGTTTCTATAATACAGCCTTAAAAGCTGGGAACTACGAGATCCATGAGAATTGATCCTTTATCTTTTACCTTTGCTGGGTGCTCTGTCTGTGTGGCACAGCAAGTGAACGCAGGCAATATTTTCCTCCAATTTCTAGGAGTAGCAAAGTGAAACTTGACTAAAATGAAGCTGCTTATTAAATAACACAGGAGACAGAGAGCAAACCTCTAGCGTACAAACATGGAGGTAGCCCAAAGACCTCTCTGCTAATAAGCATGTACCCATCCACTGGGTAGATGCATGGCCCCTCTGAGAACTAAGAGTTTGAGATTCTGAAAGTACCGTGGGAATATCAGATGGTAGCTGCTGGTGGTGCATGACGGTTTGGGGTAAAAAGCTGACACCTATCAGTACCAGTCTGCTTGGTCTGCCGGTGACATACAGTAGTTTTGAGTCATTAGCAACAGCTTGCCTGGACTTTCTGCTGGGAATCTATATTCAAATGCTGACTATGCCAGATCAAACTGAAGATTCTGAGACATTATCAAAAGATGTTTCTTGGTCGCAATCTTAGAATTAAGTGAGGCTAGGACACTCACCCTAATACACACAGCTATGCTGGGATCTTACTTACCAGGTATTCATAAAATAAAGCCCACTCGAGAGAATGCACATTCTTTTCACCTTCTGATATCCACCTGACCATACAGCCTCATTCCTAAGCGGAAGGGAGAGGCACCCACATTGGAAGGAAGCCTCAGCCAGTGCACTTTTTCCCTGCCTGGTACAAGTTGCTTCCATGGAGGAATGTCGCGCCATGCGGCCTCACTCTGGGTCTCATGCGGGCATCCTTCTCGCTCGGAGATGATGTTGCTGACAGGGATTACTCTCCAGTTACATGGGAGAGTGGGTGGGACCACAGCTTTTGCAAGCACAAGGTCATTTCTCCTTTGCTCCCCATTCCTTCTTCTGAGAAGCAGTGATTACTTTCACACTGTACATGTGGGCTCAGAAAGAGAGGGGAGCGGAGGACTTGGTGGGGAGGAGCGCCTCAGCGGCACTGACCTGATGGCCTTAGTGCCCTTCTGTCGCCGCAGGGACCACACTCATACCCAAAAGGACCCTCTAAGTCTCTTCCTCTAAGCTCCCTAGGGCTGCATCCCCTGTCCAACTTTCTTCACATTCAGTCTCCAATCTGCCCTGCACCAAGCCACTTCCAACACCCGCGTTCCCGATGTGGACGGCACTGACTCCACTTACTGCTCTCTTCCTTCTTCTTTTTTTTTTTTTGGTAACAAGCTGTGTTGCTCTGCTCTGAACAAGCCACTTAATCTTGCTAAGATAACTCAGCTATAAAAAGGAAAATGATAATTTGTGACTTCATAAACTTTCACAATGCAAATATCATGTATTATTAGAAAAAATACATTTAGAAAAACAGAAGGGACTTGCTTTGCATGCTATTTCAGGAGAAACCGTAAGAAAATAATTCTTCAATCAATAAGCAAGCTATGCTTGGGCAACTTGACTCAAAGCTGATCATGGCTCCATAGCTTCCAAAGGAAAGGGTGAAAAGCCATCGTTTTTCCTTTTTTTCAATCCCTCTTTCTCCCCTCCAGCATTTAAACACTGAAAAATGGCAACTGGGCAGCTTCTAGTTTTATCCCCATGAAGGACCCTGGAGTCTTCGACTAGGGGCCTGATTCCAGGAATGATGTTCAAACTGACCTAAGAAGGTGGTGTGTGACCTTGACATTCACCTTGAGAATTAGGAAGGTTTGCCGTTGCCCTCTTCCCACTCTGCCTTGTCCTGTATCTCACTTTGGCCCATCTTCTGTCTTCCCAGTCCCCACCACTCACCAGAACACACATCTCCAAAACAAGCACAATGCACAGGAAGTACCTCTTGGAAGAGAGCGCCATCTGCTCCCCAACAGAGCGCCAGCCGGCCACACCATGGGAGCGGCAGGCGGCTGTCTGGGGAAGATGCCATCACGTCTGGTGGACCCCAGGAGGCCACCGCAGAAGAGGCGTGGGATTCTCTCCAGAGCCCAGCTTGGGGTCTATGGAAAGACTGCCGCAAATGAAAGCCCTTCGATCATCCCTTAAATAGTCTTCCAGACTCCAAGGCCTTAGCAGACACCTGTAAGAGGGTCATCCCTGTCCCTCTCCAAGCAAGGCCCGCACTGTGTACATCGGTATGACTCTCCTCTCTCCTCATGTCCCCCAGAACTTCGAAGGTGGTAATAATATCGATTAAAAAAGCTCACCAAAGTAAAGAGAAAAATCTTTATGGGGTGGGGGTCAAAATCCAGAGAACAGCTTTTATAGCTGCTCTACATTGCGATCACGCCAGGACCCTAGGGAAAGACTTCTGTGAAGCCGCACAGCTCAGGGTCTTCATCCGGGCTCTTAGGAAGGAAGTGCGGCATGTCTAGTGCACAAAGTTTCTCAGAGTAAAAATTGTTTTTAAATGAAAAGGATTAAATGGTATTAAACACCTAGTCTCCTACCTATAGATTAATCTACGCCTATATTATAAAAGCACAAAGGACGAGAGACTCTCCACTGCTGATGTGTGAGGAGGTATAAAGTTGGTTCTGTTGCTGCTGTCGTGTCAGCGCCCCTGTGCTTCTCTCTGTGTGCCTCTTGCACTGCTAGTGATCTCTGTGCTCACTCACTCAGCACTCATCACAATGTCTGCAGTGGCTACCATGGTTACTCCAGTCCAAGGTGACAAAGCAGAGGCTCGGAGTCATTCAGTTCACTCCAACCTCATCACAGAAAGTTGACCTGGAGTCCAGTTCCAGAGCTGTGATATCAGAACGCATCCAAAGTCATCTTCCTCAGGAGGGACGGCCTCTTCTAGACATGCTGATACCTTGCCAGGAGTCTATTACCAGTGAGCCAGGTCACCGGGCTGGTTTTTTTAATGTACCTGAGTGCAGCTCACTTATTACTCGTTGCTCTTGCTCCCCAGCATGCTGACGTTCTCTCCACTGCAGGAGAGAAAGCAGGGTCCTCCAAGCTGAGGTTTTAGGACTCGCTCACAGCCCTGAGCTCCCTGTGGCAGGTGCACCTCACCCATCAGCATTAGCATCTGTCGTCACCACTGCCACCACTACCATCACCACCAGCAGATCACACCTATCGATCGCTAGCAATAATTCTTCACATGCATCTTCCCCACACGTCACCATGGGAGAAAATGCTGAAAAACACCAAGCTATCCCATTCCACACCCACACTTAAAGCCTTTATTGCACAATGCGACCATGTACTACTCCTCCACCAATCTTACAAAGGCAAATCCTTGACAGAACAGGCATTTACTATGTATCTTGGGTCAAGCGCTAGACGAGGCCCTTTACATATGTAATCTTGTTTAATTCACACTGCAAACCCCAAATGCAGATTTTGTACAGATACTTCCGTCAAATTTTACAACAAAAGAAAACCACAGCTCACAATTGCCAAGTGTCCTTCCTGAAGCTCACAGCGCTGGTAAATTACACTCCAGGATTCATACTAGACCTGCACAAGCCTTGGCAATCCTTTTAGGATAGTCTCCCGGTTTCCTAAATTGGATTTTTTTGTTCTGTTTGGCTGTTTAAGACAGGGTCTCACTACATAGCTCTGGCTGGCCTTGAACTCACAGCGATCTTCCTGCCTCAGCCTTGGTAGCTAAATTCAATTTATTTCTTCCTTCTGTGATATACAAGTAAGCTCTTTGTTTGATAGTCTATTCAACTGGAACACAGGAGCCTTCAAAAAAGTGCTAGATTAGGGAGGAGACATCCCCAATTCTAGTCCTGGCTTGACACGTCCCAAGTGTGTGCCTCTGGATAACTCATTCACCTACCATGATGAAGCGTGTCCAGCACTAGCCTTCTACACTCTATGATTTCCACCAAAATAGATCATGAGTAGCACTGTCACCCAGGTGGCATGAGTTCCACGCAGACCTTCTCTCCGCCCTGGGAAGAGAGGGTTGAGAGGCTGCCGGGGAGTGTGAGAACCACTCCACCGCACAGCTGTCCCTGCCGTGGATAAACAGGGTCCCTCTCTAGAGAGCTCTGCTGGCACCTCGTCTTCATTCCTTTCAAGAAAGAAAGAAAGGGGAAATTCATATCCTTGTGAAGAATGTATTACCTTCTCCAGGCAACTGCCAAAAGCCCAACTGTAGACAGAATCCATCTGACAAAATCCCTGAACTGCTTTGATTCAGTTCTTAAAGGAGATTAGTTGTTGGAAGGTCACCGCGAAGCCATGCACCGCACACGGCAGCTCGGCGTTCAAAGCTTTCACTACTGAGGGAATCTCCGCACTGGATGCCCCTTCCCTCCACGGCGCTTAATCAATGAATCAACAAACAGTTCCTGGGCAGGGCTTCCCTGGGGCCTGCGGGCCACTTCAGATGTGGCTCTCAGTTCAATAGCAGGAGAAAGAAAAATGGATTTTTTTTGGTGACTTTTCTTAAAGTTTCCATTTATAAAACCAGAGCTGGCATCAAAAGACTCTGGGTCTCCTGTCCCTCGTCTCCCTTCTCTGAGCCCTCTGATTCAGAGACAAAGAAAATGCAACGTCGCTGAGAGAAGGGAGGAGGGAGGGCGGGGGAGGAAAGGTGGAGTGAATGAGACCTGTAGGTTGGAGGTCAAGGAGGTCAATGGACAGAGAATGCGCCTACTGAAATTGAAACGTCTCCCTGGCGCATGTCACCCACGCTAACGCACTTGCTATTACTGTGCTTTAGTACCTGTAGCACTGTCACCCAGGGATTTCTCAGTCAGGGATTTTGTCAGCTCACCTTTGAGACTGACTAGTGGCCACTAGGCTTGAGGATTTCAGGTCTAGTGTAATTAAGAATGTCTTACACCTTTAAGTAGCCTTATACGCGCAACTTGGGCAGCAAGATCATACATAAAATGTGCAGATACCTTCAACCCCACAGCATCAGAAACCCTAAATGCAAAGAGGAAAAATTTTAGAAATTAGCTCTCTTACATGATTTGCATAAATATACATATATAATATGTATAATAAAATATTGCTTTTGGCTTTTAACAAAATGTTACATAAAACACTATATTCTGCTGTAAACTGGACCACCCTCTGTCAAGCCATAACTTTTCACCATGGTACCCTACAGGAGGGTCTAAGCTATGGTGTGAACCTTGCTCTTTTGGGTCCAGCCCAGGAGCAGGATTTCATTTAACTGTACCTATCTTCAATCCAAATGAGTCATGAAACTAGCGGTGTTTTATTGAGCACGTACGATGCCAGGCATGGCGCTAAGTATCTGTATACATTATCAGTCAAACTTCCCCCCTCCTGATGGCATGTGTTATCCTCCGTCTACACAGGAGGGTGGAGGACATCATTTTGTCTAAAATTGGACCTTGGGCTGCTCTACCACTGAGCTACATCGCCAACTCTTTCTGTTTTCTATTTTGAGATGTGAGCCTCCCTAAGTTGCTAAATTGCCCAGATTGGGCTTAAAGTTACAATCCTCCTGCCTTAACCTCCCAGGGTTCTGGGATAACAAGTACGTATCAGCACACCCAGCTTGGCTAAAATCTCATAGTTTGGTGAAAAGCAATGACTGCAAAGACTGTGCCCTTCAGCACCCTGCGGCTGACACATGCTTGGAAAATCGAGGTAAGAAAAAGTTTAAAACTGTATTTTTATTATAATTTAGCCTCTAGGACTTGGTGCTCCCATGTGTTTGTAATTGCTCCTTTTTCCTCCAACATTAATTTCTAGAGTTTCCTCTCTTTTTGAGGAGCATAGCTGGTATTAGAATAGCAAAGAGGTCATGGGACTATAGGCCCACCTTGCCATTCAGAAGAACTTTGTAGTCTAAGTACGCAGTAAGGGCCTCCGACACCTTAAAGAGGTTCTAGTCTGTTGGGTTTGGTTCTGTTTCATTCTGCTTTGTTTTGGCAGAGCCTGGGATCAAATCCAGGGCCTCATGGATTCTAGGCACACAATAAGCCACACCCCCATGCTCAAAAAGATGTATTTTTTTAAAAGCTTATAAATATAAGTTCTGTGCTAATACTTGACATACATCTAAACAAAGGGTTTGCTCAGTAAAATCTTGAGTGCACTTAAACGGTTTGATGTTTTTACATACTACTGAGCTCCTTAATGTTTCTCCGTAGTTCTGTCACAGAGCAAGTCCTAACACAAACACACACACCTGACAGTGTTTCCTTCACTGTGACATCTACACCCATGCAGTATGCATCTATCTCTATGTTGAAAGGAGGTAAAAGTAAACACCTCATTATCTTTTGGTCCAACACAATGCACCCACCTTTCCCTCTGCCCGTGGAAGAAAGTGCAACACAGAAATCCACGTCTGCTGCCCTTCAGATCTACAGGCCCAGGCAGAGCTCTCTGCTTCCAGAGCTGGGCTGAGACAGTGACTAGAAGGTTCTATTCTCACCAGCTGTGCACTGGAGAATCTAGCCTCCACATCTGGACATACACACAGCTGTGCTTTTAGGTGCTACCCAAGTGCCACAGCTTCGGCAACCAGACTTTCTTTCTGCATTTCCTTTTAATAAGCATAGCTGAAAACAGCATAGGAAACAAACCACGAGGTTTTGGCTGGTGCCTTTTGGTTGAGAGTAAACTGATGAATACAATCACTTTCACATGCAGAGACCGTCCCTCCCAGAGCAGCACAAATATTGTCGTAAGGCCTGGTCCTTGCAGAACTCAGAAAATGTCCGGGCGGGGGAAACCTTGAGGTCAGGCCCAGCACTTCCCACAGCCCCTACCCGTGCCTATTCCCACAATGCAAAAGTTGTTTCTGAAGCAAATAATTTTCAGGAAGACCAAGGTTATACATTAATCCAGAGGCGCAGGCAGGGAGCACAGGCAGTTGTACCATTTACAAGTAAAAGAGCCAGTGCCCTATGATCCTCCTCTGTCTGGAGCTGAGAACTTCTGCGGTGTAATTAGCATGACCTTCCACAAAGCCGGCCTGAAACTCACAGCCTTCCCTTCTGTTTCCTGAATAAAGGCGCTTACCAGTGAGCACCCACGAGCCCTCACACCTGGCCAGAACACCGGCAGCCCCCTTCCTCTGGGAAGCCTTGGGCAACACCTGCCAACTTTGGGGAGATACCCACTTGGGCTGCTTAGAAATAGGGGGCAGGGGGGAGAAAAGAAAGACTTTCCCTTTAAAACTGCACAGGATCGGATACCGAATCACATGACCTTTTACCGTAATTTCTATTAAAATCATTTCATGTCTGGGTGCCTCCGCTCTCCCGGCTCATTTGTATTGTTTACAACAAGTCATCGCCCTGGCAGTTAGCGGTGGCTGAATCCATGGTTACCCGTTTGTACATTCACTGGTTAAATGGAATGCAGCTGGCTGTGGGTTCCAGGGAGCAAGCTCTTAAGAAACCACAATCCAGCTATCAATCAGCCTAATCTGAGAGAAATTAATCTTAGAAGGGTAAGTATTGTTGCATATTAAAAATTGATAGGAAGGGGGCCCGGGCTTTCACTGGTTGAAGTTGCCAAAGTGGACAAGCTGAGATTGACTCCCGGCCTCTGAGTGTGGCCTCCGTCTGACAGTCATTCAGGCTGTGCTGCTGAAAAGCTTTCAAGGGTGACCCCACACCGAGCCTTCAGAAGTCGGCCACCATCCCCCAAATTCTGACAGCGTTCCTTTCATCCGAATGTTCTTAGAATCTAAGGAACATCCCAGCACAGCTTCATCAGACTGCAATCCCAGCAAGTAACTTAAACAGACACATACGAGCCGCAAAACACCAGAAAGACAGCACTGAATAGGATTCAATTAAGACCAAACCTCAAAGGAATGCTCCTTATGAGTAAATTAAAACTGCAAACTAATATGTTTTATTGAGAACAAGAATGGTACCAACTCATTCCATACTCCATGAATTCATGTAGTTAATTCTTTCAAAACAGTCCCTAAAGCGAACTCGCTTCTCAAAATGGACCTGACCAACAATTATCATTCCTAATAAAAACTGAGAAGTTTTATAGTTTAATGCCCACAATCACTGTCCCACAAGTCACATCTACTCACTAAATGAGAACAGCAAATAGTTAAAGCTAACATATTCCAAGTCCATCCACTGCAAAGTCACTGTATCAGAAGCTAGAATTGATTTGTTTCCTCAGAACGAATTGAAAATGAAGGTAACATAACGTTGGAAAACCCCCTCCCGCCCGGCTAATTGGATCTGGTATAATGTTGGTTGCAGCTCCCCTAGACTATGCTGCCTGAATCACCCCTACTCACACGTTCTGGGCTCTTCCAAGAGTTTGGTGCAGTTTCAAGGACAAACGTCTCAAAGAAGCCGCTCTGGTGTGCAGCAGGGAGCCCAGCTCAGATCTGAAGACGAGAGCTCGGTGCTACATCTGACACCAGGGAAGGAAACTTCCTGCGTGCACAGATCTTGGAAAGTCTCAGGGTTAAAAAGGCTGCTCGCAGCGTGCTGTGGATCTGCTCCCTGGTTGTGTACACCCGGTAGCAGCTGATCTGTGTTCACAGCCCTGCAGAAAGAAACCTTGACTGAGAACCAATGGCATCACATTTCAGCCAAGTGCCTGAGAGCAGAGCCGCCACCTCCGACAACTGACAACTTCACACAGTTCAAGCCGGCAGCCTCCCCACAGGGCGGGTTGAGGAGGATGTGGGAGGTGTCCCCTGTCACCTGCCAGGTGCCAGCGTGGTCCCCAGAAACCAAGCTCTGCTCCGGGCTGGATGTGAGGTGTTCCTGGGATTTAGGGAGTTTTTCTCGCCAATGACCTGACCTGCCATGGACTCCACTGTAAGAGAACTTTACAAATGAATTTGAATTCTGAAAATGTATTTCCCTCTGTTTTTCATATACACCTTTGTGTTGAAGGCTGCTCTGATTTTCCTCAGAAGGGAACAGAGGGTGAAATGATACAAGATCGGGTCCTGTGGCACCCCGTTCCGTACTGTCTCAGTGCAGAGACTACGGGTCTGAAACACCACATTGCTGGGCTGTTTTCTTATTGTTCCTTATAAACTGGGGGTGACCACAAAACTGAATTCCCACAAACTCACTATCAGGAGACACAGGCCATCAAGAGCAAGACGGAAGAGGAGCACGTAGTAGTGCTGGTGGCGACCAAGTGAACACTCAATCACAGTCCCGGTGGCCTCTTCCACCCCCTGTGAGTACCAGTCTAGCCCAGATGGGTGCAGGACGCAGCATCTTTCCATATTTTACTTCAAAAGGTGGAAATCGGCACCAGAGGCTTAGCAAGGCCAGGTGAAAAGTGTCAGGTAGATCAGGCTTCTGTCCCTCCCACTCTGACAGCTGGCCTGAGGGACCTTGGGTGACCGTGAAGTCTCCAAGGTCCTTGCTTAGCATGTTGCCCACTACGGCTCAAGAATAACAATAATTCCCCTGCGGTACAGTCTGTGTCGTGTCATGAAGAGCTGGGCCTCTGGCTCCAGGTTGAACTTCCCGTCCTGACTCAAGCACACAGGTAGGAGGTTGTTTAAAATTGCCCAGCTTCTCTCTCCTTGTCTGTGGAATGGAGAACATCTATCATAGAAGGAGTGATCAAAAAATAAAGCATGTTTACATTTTAAAATGTATTGCACTAAAAGACACATTGCCCCAAATCCCCTTCAAAATATTCCTCCTCACTTCAAACACACTTATCCCATCATTCTTGCCACTTTCTGAAGCTGTTCTGGAAGTCCTCTTTCATGAGTGTCTTTCCAAGGTGTGATCAAAAATATGGTGAATGCTGCGCCAAGTGCCATCCAACGGGGGGGCAGGCTCGTAAAAACATGATATGTGTCCTCATCCACCTTGTTCACTGGATCTGGCATTGTGCGTGCAATGTCTGACTCTCCCTCAAAGTCAAATGACTACGAAAGGTGAATACTTTGAATTCATTCAGGACATCGAGGCAGACAGGATACCATGAGACATCAGGAAGGAGGACTTTAGAACTGCTTTAGAGAGCTGCAAGAATGATGGCACGAGTGTGTTTGAAGTGAGGGGGAGGATTTTGAGAGGGATTCATGGCAATGTGTGTTTTACTGTAATTTTTTTTATCTTTTTGAGACAAGGTTTCGCTATGCAGTTCAGGCTGACCTTGAACTCGCTATGTAGCCAGGGTTGGCCTCTAACTTGCAGCAATATTCCTGCCTCAGCCTCCCCAGTGTTGGGATTATAGGCATGCATCACCACACCCAGCCTGTAATAGTTTTGTTTTTTTTTTTAATTTAAACATATACCATATTTTTTATCATACACTCGCCCAGGACTTCTCGTGAAGATCTAACAAACAGCATGGTGATGACAGAAGAGTGGCCAGGACCCAAGCATTAGCAAACATGCACAGCGCCACACACTGGGGCTGGCGCCTGTGTGCACTGCCTCAGGTGCCCCAGCGCCTGTCTCCTCTGCTTCCCCCCACTGCTATTCAGTCTCTCCCATGCTCATAAAGACACTTTCAAAAGCTGCCTTGGGGTGGGGGGTGGTCACTCAGTGCTAGAGCACTTGCCTAGCAGGTGCAAGGCGCTGGGTTCCAGCCCTACAAAAGGAGAAAATACGCTCTGTCTCTTCTGATCCTTGCAACAGTTTCATGAGGCAGATGTAGCTATACCCAATGTATACATGGGAAAGCCACCTCTGAAAGAGGTGAAGGTCACACAGCTAGTAAACCGCAGCTGGACTGTCAGGCCAGGCTCTGCTATTCCAAGTTCCCTTTCAAGAATCTGTATGAATTGCTCAGGTAGCATTCATACTTTGTATAATTGTATATTCTACTATTCTGTTGTTGTGTTTGTAGTGCTGGTGATAGAACCCAGGGCCTCACGCATGCTAGGCAAATGCTCTGCCACTAAGCCCTAGGTCCAGGCCTCTGTACTAGTTATGGTTTCATGGATTAACTAAAATAGTATGTATCTCCAAAAAGGAGAGACCATATCTCCAAATCACACTGTACTCAATAACAGACCTAGCACTATATTAAACACATTACCTGTTCAATAAAGTTCTCCAAATTGAGCAGAAATGCGGGCTGGGTTGATTTTACTACCTACGACCAACCTCCTAGCAAGACAATCCTTCCATAAATGATGGCTTGGGGTTATTTGTGGCATTCTAGCACTTGTACTATTAATATACTCAACTCCTTCCAAATAATCCTATCCTGAAATTCTTAATACTGACTCACAGTTAAACTACCTGAATTTTGTTTTCTTCATATGTATAGCACTTATGCTGTACAATGAGGATCTAGTGATTTTTAGCAAGAGTGATTAAATATTGACTTTATATTCAAACTTGATCCCATAACATTGCCTAATTGCTAGATTCATCTAGTTTTTAGGTTTACTAGATCACAAAGTATAGACCTGTATTAGTCATTATCTAAGCACACACCAGTCTTATATACTAAATTTTTAAATCTGCCTTTTAAATATTGCCTGTACAAACATTCCAGATTTCTTGAATAATTGTTAACCTACTCCTTTATTTTATGCTTTGAAATATCATTCATTTCTGATGAAAAAAATGCTTAGCTATTCTTCAATGAATCATAGATAAAAACATCCCTGACAAGAGCTCTTTATGGTGTCTAGAACTTGGAGTTTAACAGATATCTTCTGTTAACTATTTCCAATATTCTACCCTGGACATCTATCCCTACATGAAACTGATATCAGTATTTATAAGTATTTACTACCCAACAATGATCCATTCAGTCTTCACGAAAATGCAGGAAATTTAGATTAATATAAAAATTGTGGCAATAACACAAAAGACAGGCAATGTTTGAGACAAAGAAAGCAATTACTGAATACATTGTTTTTGTTTCCAAAACCACCCAGATGTCTATTCAGACAGTGCTGGCCATCTGTAAGGGAAAGTGCATGTGCCCTTCAAGTAAGGGCACCGCATACATTACAATTACCAAGCCTAGGGATCTCCTCCACACACAGCTGCCCAGCTGCATACCACTTCCTGCTTCCTCCCTAAAGGTAATAGCAGGAAAAGTACCCTCCAGAGCGCTTATTCCACTGTGAGCAAGAAACGTGCCAACCAATGGCCACTGAAGAACCAAACCAGTTGGCCTGCAAATGGTGAGGCCAGGCAGCGCACTGGTTAAAACAATGTCTCTCCCTTGCCACTCAGAACGAAGTAATCTTATAGCTTGTAAATGCTTTCCTTCCCACCAGCCTCACTGCACTCACAACCATCTTGAGGAGCAGATGGGTTCCTTAGTGACATTTTTAGAATTCAGAGAATTAACTGATTTCCCAAAGCCATAGAGGCAGTCAATGGCCCACTAGATATTTTGAGATGAGAGTTCAAAACCTAATTCCAAAGCTTTTCCACATAACCCACCACACTTGCCCTTCATTGGGAACCGAAGCACATTAGTTCCCCTCTGTCTCATTTGCAGCCTTCTGCTCAGTTAAATACAGACCAGGCCAAAATGCGTGTGCGCACGCACACACACACGTGCACACACACTCAACCCTCTTCCACCTTCAGCTGCAGTCTGACTTTTCTTCTCCCAGGTCCTGACCAGTGACTGCAAGAGAAGAGTGGATTCTACCCCATCTTCCCTAGCTCTCCTATTTTCATGCATTTGGGTGACAAAAACCAAATCCCACCACAGGGCGTCAACCTCACCCTAGCACTAATGTTTCTCTATCTCAAGAGCAGGAAACGCCGCACACTCTGCACCCAGTCTGTAAAAGTCCTGCACATGTCTAATAATCTGTCCACTACTTTCCATCTGTCTTTCCAGCCCTGGGTTACATGTGCATTCTCTTAAACCTCAGCTCTCAGAGTGCACGCAAAGGATGACCCGCCATTTGGCTTTATTGCCTTGATTTTATGTATATCACTTGTTTCACAATAGAACTGTTCTTTATATTTTGTTATCACTGATAATACAATATTCCACTCCAATAAGTAACAAGAGGCTTTTATGATCTAGCTTGGGAAAACAATCAGCATTTAAGTCTGTTCAGTAAGTGTGTTTGGAATATCTGATAATTGATCTACAAAAGAAAACTTTGACTGCAAATCCAACTGTCAAAATTTCATGAGGTTTTCATTCCAAACCACTGAACCTGAGCCCACTTACTGCTGTATATCCTGATATTCCTAGGCATGGCATAAGGCCATACTTAAGTAAATAATTAGCTTATAGAAGGGGAACAGAGAGGAGTATGATTAATCAGTTAATTCATTATTGATCAATCACTTAACTTAGAATTACAGAAGCAAAGTGAGTCAGAGGCCATCTAGTCCACGTGCTTCATTGGAGGGCTGAAGAACAAAGGTTTACTATTATTCTCAGACAGAGTGGGTAACCAGGTCATAACACCACCCCTACACAGCATCATCACTATGACTGACCTTCACCTGAGGACCGACACTAGACAGAACACACATCGGCCATAAAAGGCAAATCTGTAACCCTGATAGTGACTGGAAGAAAAGATCATCAGGTCTTACGGTCCAATTCTGCAACCTTCAGAAAATAAATGTTCCTACTAAGTAGTAAACGAATTTCTAATAACTGAATGAAAGTGCTCATCTAAATAGCCAACTTTGGATTTCTCTCCACACGTAATAACTTGGAAAAATATATAGCCTGTGTTTAGTATAGCACTAGAGCTACAGTCTCTATGAAGAGCTATAACTCGCTAACAATTTCCCTGATTTATGTTTGAAAACATACAGGGCATGAAATGATTTCTGCAACCTTACATTTTCCTCAAGAACACTGGTGAGCAGAGATATATTCCAAAAATTATGTGGGGTTGCTAGTTACATGTCCTTTTTCAATAGAAGTAGATGATGAGCAATTATACATGTTCCACAAAAAAAAAAAATGTCATTAGATTATTTTTCCCATTAAGGGAAGAAAGAAGAGAAAAGGAAGAAAGGGAGTAAAGGAGGATGGGAACTCTGAGAGAAGAATCTATTTTCATACAATGTTTACATTGTAAAAGGCGATTGCTTTCTTAAGAAAGGATAACAATTATTCTTCCAAAGAACAGCTTATGGGTAATGTATGGTTATAAACTGTAACTCACTATACAAGCGTTAGTTATTCTCACTGTTAGTATTTAACATATATGGAAATGTGCTTCACAATCTATAATTGTGCTAATAAAAATAGGTATTTGTAGATATAAATTAGATTGGTCATAAAATTAGCCTTATTAATCTAATAAATCTTTGAGTGAGACCAAATTTAAATGGGCCAGTCTAGTAACACAGATATCTGGCAGTACTGTTTATCCCACCATGTAAATATCAGAATAGGAATACTACAGCTTTGCTATGCTTCATATAGCATTTGTATCTTGAATTTGAATCTTTACAACGATAAATAATAACTGTCACATATGCATATTTTTCATGTTAAATAATTAGTCTAAGGGCAGTAAAATAAGTGCACTCATGGATTAACATCTTTCTTAGAGTTCTTTGCAGGTCTTTCTTTTTTTTTTTTTTTTAGCAGATGTGCTCATCTGAATAGGCCAGACGTGTCCGTAAGTAAAAGAAATACCTCCAACATCTCCAGTATCTTGCATTTTATTACAGGGATTCCAGACACATCTAACCCCTTTTTTTGTGGCAACTATGATCACAACCTGGTTTATTTTTATTTATTTTTTTTTTTTTGGTTTCTTTCCGGTACCGGGAACCGAACTCACGACCTTGCGCTTGCCAGGAAGGCGCTTTGCCGCTGAGTTAAATCCCCAGCCCCTCACAACCTGGTTTAAATGAACAAGTATCTTTCATAATAGAAATAGAAACAGAGGCTTGAGTCAGAGCCCTAAATGACACTTTTCCACGCCTGCACGTGTTCTAGAGCACAGTGCTGTAAACGCTCTCTCCACCTTCCGTGTTCCGCAGATGTGTGAAGGGGAATAGGAGACTAAGCCCAGCGCAGGGAACGAGGAGGAGGTGGCCGCCTTTCCCACCGGAAACCATCAGGGTTGAGAGAAGGAAAGGTATCTAATCTCCAAGAGAAGGAAAACTCCTACTGTACTATCTATGTGACAGGCAGGCAGACAGAGTAGTAACATTCCCACAGGAATCCTTATCAGCAACATAAGATCAGGAATTTTTATGTAAAGACTCGCAAGGAATTTTCCTGTTCCCCAAACCTGGGCAACGAGAAGCATGCGGTTGTGGGTATCAACACTGTATTTCAACACAGCGCATGATTTTCTGCAATTATCTTTTTAAAAAGGCCCCCCTGACTTCGACTTCCCTTCTAACAACCCTCCCTGTTACCATTACTACCGACACCATTAGAAAGAACTGTTATAAAACAGGCACCAATGACGCAGAGAAGGTTGTTCTAGGAGAAGACCCCCACGCTTTCCTTCAGCAGCACCCCCACAGTCTGCTAGTCTGAGACGGTGAGAAGACATAGAATTTATTCATAGTTCCTCGCTCTGATTCCAAGCGTCCATTTAGGCATGGAGCTTCTGCAGGGCTCACCTGATCAAGGAAGCCATGTTCCTCGCCAGCTTTAACCCACTGACAATGAAGCAACAAGAGAAAACGTCTTTGTTTGCACAAAGAAGCCCTTATACCTTATTTTGACTTTATAAAGAGATTTTTAGATGAATACAAAAATCATAATATTATGATAGTCGGTAATCATTATTTCAAAACGACAGATTCTATTGTTCATGGAGAAATTTTCAGTTGGTTTTCTCATACCAGAGGTTCAATTGAAAAATTCACCAACTGCTCCCTGGAGAAAACTGAAGATCTGCATTTAAATGGAGATATAGTATTTCCAAATGCACAGTACCTAGAAGGCATATACTGTCAAGGTTTCTTAGTGAGAATGACTCAAATTGCGTTAGGTACATTTCAATGCCGTAGCTATCTCCTCCATTTCATAGGGCTCTGGATATTTCCATAACATTCTTTTTCCTCTGTGGATTCTTCATGTTTGTCCCGAGAAGTTCAAATTAAACCTTGCTCCACGGCAAAGTCCTCACAGTAACAACAAGCAATTACTACTACTGTACATATCATTTCTGATGTGTACAGAAAAAAGGCCACAGAAGGGAGCGCAGCCAGAAATGTTAAATAATTGAAAAGTATAATGACTTAATAGAGTAGTAAGCTTAGTTTACAATGCAGCCAATTTAAAGCCATAAAAATACTGTGTAAAAATTTTATCTTGTGGTTGACCATTACATATCCTATCTATTATTCAAGAGTATCTCAGCAGCGTTTTTCTTCATTAATGTGGCTTTTGGCATTTGCCTCAAAATCTTTCTATTCCAACAGTTTTCCAACAATTTTGAAATAAATACAGAATTTCTGCATTATGTTCCAAATTTCCTGCACTACAATGATAATACCTTCCGTGTCTAATTGAAACCGATTTCATGGGTCAGTTTCCATGGCATACTTTAACCTTGCCAGATATGATTTGTTTTGCATCTAACAGAATTATGTGTACAACACATTAAAAAAAAAAAAAAAACCAAAGCTACTTGTACTCCCGTATGTGTAGACAAAAGGGAAGTCTCCTAAATAACCCCTTCTCCTGTAACACACTCACTCAGGCATCTGTCTGTACTAGAAAATGTCATGAGGCATCAGAAAAGTTATTTTGCCTTGAATATGCAGCTAAGGTGCACAGCATGCCTGGGAAGGAGAAAAAAGAGACTGAGGACCCATTTCAAACGTAAGCCTGCTCCCTCTCACTGGCTCTTGCTAACATTCTACCTGCCACTGAAATGTCCCCGTAAACAAGGTTACCAAGAACAGGCCCAGATACTCCTCTCAGACACACTCCCCGAGGAGCCCGTCAGCTGTGTGTTTAGTTATACCTCGTCCTGCTGCAGGCTGATTCAAATTCAGAACTCAAAATGAAAGCTGAAATATCCTGAAGATCACTTAATATTGAAATACTGCTGCAATAATAAGCGGTGCTCAGTTGGAGAGGGGAACGTGTACTCTCTCGGTAACCTTTTAATTTCTGAAAAAATTGTACGAAATAAATTGAGTGGCACACATGGAAACCTAATCAATTGATCTGCCGTATGTTGTTAGAGCACTGGCCCACCACAAACTCCTTGCCCCCAGGCAATCGCTGCTGAAGAAGACCAGCAGGTTTTGGTACGTAGGAAGACTTAAATGCTGCTTTGATTTATTAAAGAAAAGGAACCATCTCTTTCCTACATTCATCACCCCAGTGGTGGACAGTTTGATGTGTAATATGATAGCGTTCTCAACAGACTCACATTTAATTCTAGCAATGCAAGCGGCAGGGTTAGGAGCACCGCTTTAGGAAGAAATAATAGAGCCATGCATAGCAGACAAATCCATGCTTAAATGATCATCTAGGCCTGTTTCATTTTCTAGTTGATTCCTTCCATATTTGAAGGGGAAAAAATTAAAAACCCATCAATGTCACATTACATCCAGGAGCATTTTCACGTCAACCATTTCTCAGCCCTGACTTCAGAACTGTTCAAATTTCCCTCTCTTTCTCACCATGACAGAGCCGTTTCTGAGGTTGGTGAACTCCTTTTGATCGCATCAGGTCTACTGGAGGCTGGGGGAGCGCCCTGAAACCAGCTCCTGAAGCCGTCCCTGCCTCCTTCCCAGAGGCATTTTTCTGGCTTTCTCGTGCCCGCTACTTCTCCATTTGGGCATTTTCCAAGCACACTGCCCTGGCTGGTCTCTGGGCAGCATGAGAACCAGAACTAGACCGAGTCACCCAGCGGCTCTGAAACACACTTCCCAACATCCGCAGGCCTCCGGTCTCCACCTGGGCATTAGCAGGAGCGCTCTGAAAGTAGGGGGCTGGGGTTGGGGGGCCTCAGGGCCCACCTAAGGGCTTCTCTGAACTCACAGGCTGATCCTTTTTTTCCTCTCTCGTTTTCCTTCTTCATTTTTTGAGGGTACCCTCCTCCTCCAGCCCTCTGGCTCTCCGCTGCCAGATCCCGCACCACCTGTCCCTCCTGGGTGCCTGCCCCGCTGCAGGCCCGGGTGAGCACCGTGGTGAGTACCACAGCACAACCGCGCAAACACACGCAAACACACGTCCCTGCTGCAGCCGGCCCATGTGGCGGCTCGCAGTGTGACCTAGGCAAGCGCAGTAAATAAACATCCATAAGCACTCCACAGCACCGAGGCGAGGGGGTCCTCCAGCCCTCTGGACTCTTCTGGAACTGCTCCCTAAGATCCTGAAAGGGAGCAGGGCACAGCCAGGGAAAGGCTGCAGGCAGGAGCAGGAGGAGGGCAGCTGTGCCCTCCAGTCCTCCTTCCAGACCTGGGGGAGGGGGCGCTCTCGCCTGCAGCCCCGGGACAGCCCCGCGGGCCGCCAGGCGGCAGGGCTGACGGGCTTGCAGGATGGCTGGGTGACCTCGGCCAACTTCGGCGACTCCTTGGGGAAGGTGAAAGGGTTGGGGAGCCTGAGGCTCGGAGGGTGGGGGGAGACGCCAGGGCCTGGCAGCAGGGATCCCAAGGGGGTTTCTGCCAGCGACAGCTCCCCGACTCCTGGCACGGTCCGCCCCCGCGACCCCGGCCCCTGCAGCCCGGCGCCCGAACTCTGCCCTGACTTTGCCACTTTCCGGAGCAGGAGTCCGTCTCCACCGACCGGGAGGGGGAGGGGAGGGGTGCTCCCCGACAGGCTCCGCGCAGTTCGGAGCCGCTGTCTGGGCGCTCGCCGCCTCGCCGCGCCGGTCAGGCAAGTGGCCGGCCCAAGTCGGGGTCGTGTTGTGGGCACGGAGGGAGGGCCGCCCTCTCCTCTCCTCCTCCCCCTCTCCAGACCGGAGCGAGGGAGGGAGGCAGGGGTCCCACGGCGCTCTCCGCCAGGACCGCAGAGCCGGGCCCTGCCCGCGCGTCTCCAGGTGTGCCGGAGAGGGGTTTGCAGCGGTTACCTTGGCAGGGTCAGAGCCGCGGCGGGGCAGGCGGGCGAGTCGTCGGGGGTCTGCGAGCAGCGCCCCGCGCCGTGGCTCCGGCGAGCC